GACCAAAATACTTTAAAATGATTTGATGATATGTATATTGTCTGAGAAAGTTTTAAAGGTGAGGAAATGCCACTATCATCCAGTACATCCGATAGAAATACAATACCATATAGTTCGCTTATTAATTAAGATATCTGGGTTAAACCAAATGCATTGCTTTGAGTAAGGGATTGTACATATAATTGTTTAGACCAACTCAGAAAAGCATGGTACCAAAAAGGGTTTGACTTTAACCTTTTTTCAGCAAAGTCGGTGGCTTGTTTCTGACTGAAAACTTTAAAACGTGAGCAATCCATATAAGTATAAGCTTGAAATAGCCGTTTCCAGCCACTTTCGTCATTGGCTAGATAACAGCTTATCTACCCAGGAGACATGAAGCGATTCGATAAAAGATGGTAAATGTGTGAGGCTCAAACCGCTGTTGTGGTATTCACAACACAAATGAAGTCTTTTAATTTTTTCTTGTTTTTTATTCCAAATGAATTCATAAAAAGCGTCCATAATAGACTTTGTCTGTTTTTCTGGCATAGGAGGCAACACAGATAATATGTGTACCATTTTTGACAACGCTAATGTCTTCACTACTGTCACCATGCCACATAATGTCAAAGGTCTCCAAGCCCAGTTTGACAGGAGTGACTTAACTTGCAAGGCTTTATCATCAAAATTAATTTTCTCACACAGAATTAAATCCACGTCAAAATGTACACCTAATAATGTAAAAGGCTTGTCAGACCAATTTAAATTTAGATGCGGAAGCATAGTTTTGATCCTATCCAAATTACTCTTGATGTATCGTGATTTATCTGGAGACCTGAAATGTATGCAAATTGTTCAAGTATCAAAAATAAACTTTTTAGAGACGATTCTGAACCATCAAGAAAAGGTAAATGTGTCATCTGCGTATTGACCTAAAAGAATTTCTTGTGTCCATAAGGTCACCCCACTAATGTCTGAGCAGTGACGTATTTTATGGGCAAGCGACTCAACACAAAGAATAACAAGATATGGAGATAGAGGGTCACCCTGTCGCACCCCCTATGTAATTGAAAAATTACCATTGTTAATTACGCAACTTGAGGCACTGGAATAAAAGCTTTCAACCCACTTTCTGAATGGTTCCCCAAAGTTTAGAAAATCTAGCGTTTTGTCAATAAAATTCGAAGAAAGAGTATCAGACGCTTTTGTAAAATCAAGCAGAACAAGCATGCCCGGAATGTCTTTTACAATGGACCCACGCAATACATCATAAACTAAACGCGTATTTTCTCCAATATTCCATCCTTTTAGAAAACCCTTTTGATCACTCTGAATAATACTAGGCAACACTTTCCTCATTCTACCTGACAAAACACCTGATGC